TTGGATGTTCTCGCTATGAGCTGGCAGGTTGTAACAGGCAAAGCTATATGAAGGTGGCTGAAGTTGGATCTGTTCACCTGCAGCCCTATGTGAACATGAATTTTTGCATCTCTTGAGCTGTTATGATTGTTTCAATTGTTCAGATGTTTGCTGCAAGCTTTTTCTCCTTGAAATGCAGTTGAATACCAGACCTTTGTAAAATGAGTTAATCCAAAAAATAAAATATCAAATATCAATGAATTCAGAAAACTGGTGGGTGGAGTCTGTGAAGAGATGCCCTAAAGGATAAAAGATCTGAGAACTGATAAAAGAGCTGGGGTCAAAGTCCCAATAAGGAACTATCCTGCTGCAAGGGAAATGAAGTAGAGACCAATAAAGGGGATCAAGAGCTCTTCGACAACCTGAAGCATGAAAAGTAGGAAATGTGAGATTGGTGTTGGAGCATTGTAGATGACATGTGAGATTCCAGGGGACTTAAGGATGACATGGCAACATCACCTAACTAGAGATGAAGAAAAAACTGGGGAATTATAGACCTGACATCCTAATATCTCTCTGTGAAAACTTGCAAGAGCGAGCTACTGACCAGTTATTCTCTAATCCCCTAGATAGATTTATAAAAATGTAAAAAAAAATGACTGGAATGGATTTGTTGATGTTTTGCTGAGGACAAATTGTATCAAACTAATTTGATTCCATTCTTTGACAGGATAACTGGCCTCATGGCTAGGGGAGTCAGCACTAGATGTGATATGTCTTGACTTTGGTAAGGCTTCTGGCACTGTCCCAGAACTCGTAAGCAAGCTGAGGAAATGCAACCTATTTAGACTCAAAATACATTGAGCTCAGTGTCAAAGTCAGAGGGCTTTCCGGGGAGATCTTTCCAGTGGCTGTCCAGGGTCCAGGTCTGTTGAGGATTTTCATCAGCAGCTTTAGGAAATTGCTTTACTATAAAATTTCCTGGTGATATCCAACTGGGAGGGGCTGTGAGTACCTGTGAAGGGTAGGAGCAGAATGCTTGATAAATTGCAGAAATAGTCCAAGTCAACAGGATGAGTTTCAGCAGAGAAGCATGCAATAATCTGCCGTGAGGCAGCCGGCGTGAATGGGCAAACACAAAGCGAGACCCAGCAGGCAGCAGTCCAGCAGAAATGACCGCTCGGAAGCTGGAAGAGGAGAAAGCGGAGAACCTGAAGTGCTTTACCACAAACAAAATGCTCTTACAACAAGGGTAGTAATCAGTTGTTTTCCATGCCTTTGTGAATAAAACAAGAAGGAAAAAAAAATAGCAGGGCCAAAAAACCCCCACATTTGGGTTTGCTGTTATTTTTCTGCTACTGAAGAAGAGGAGGCAATCTAATCTCTTTTGATAGCTTTTTTAAGAGCATATTGGGCAACCATGGTGTTGATAGAGACATGGAGGCACTCTGTACAGTGTGCCTTAGTGCCAAGGAGGTGCCCAGGAGACCTTCTGAGAGCACTGTTGAAGCTTTTGTGTTGAGATTTTTTTTTTTCCCCTACATCTTTTCCATGCACCCAAGTTGTACGCAAATAATTCTCACAAAATGGCACCAGTGTTTCTGTAAATGCAAGCTTATTTTCTGAGACAACAGAGACATCTTCCTGGGAAGATATTTATAACTTCATACCTTGCACCCTCCCCCCCCCCAAAAAAAAAATCTTGCTTGGATGGTTTATTTCTTTAATTCACCTAGATTTCATACCAGTTTCAAAGTACTTCCTAGACCTGTGTTATTTTTTATTGCATTCTTCAAACTGGGCCAATTTCTGAGTGCATGCCCAGCAAGGAGTAGTAGGCAGGTCACAATTTTTCCTTTAGCCACAGCTCCCACTCAGCTGGCCACATACATGGCAATAGCAGCAGTGCTGTCTGGGACATTGGTGAACGCTCACATTTAAGTGCGGTAGGAACATGTGATGAGCTCATCAACTTCACATCATGCCTGCAGGCTCCATGTCTAAGCTCAAATAACCACCTGAGGCCAGGTGTGGGGAAGGGCCGGCTTTCCCAGTTCGACGTGGAGAGGGGCTGGCAGCAGGAGCAAGCGTGAGCAACCCCCCCGGCTGCCTGCAGGGATGCACCGTGGGCCTGGGGGTGCTGGTCTCCCTCCACCACTGCATGCTGCCAGGCAAAGCACAGACCCCCTGGGCAAAGGGAAGGCAGACGTGTATGCGTGTGGGGCGGGTAAAGCTACTCATGGTGTTAATTATCCAGATATTTTAAATAGCTCAGTTAAATACTGGAAGGTCCTTAATTCCTCCCCCCTGTGGAGGCAAGTTGGGAGCCCTGTCTTCTCTGCTGGGCGCTAAGCAGCACTGGCACACATACCTCCGTTGTTAACAAGCTGGCTGCCCTGGCACACATACACAGATGACAACGGTCATTAAAAACATTTTTTTTCCATATAATACTCCAAAGGTTATTCTTGGTGACAGGTGCTTTTCAGCTTGTGGCCAGGGCTGGCCAGGGCTCAGCAACTGCTGTTCCCATTCGTGCAGGCTGGCTCCTACACCAAGGTCAGGGCTGTGACCACTCCCTGGCAGAATTAACCCAAAAAAGCTTCTGTCTGTTTTTTTCCCCAGAAAAAAAAGCAATTCCAGGTGAATGATATGAGGAATGACCTGCCACCAGCTAACACCAAAGTGTGACTGAGGATGGGTTGAAATTTCCTGGCTTTGAATGGCGGCATGTTCAAGCATGACCAGATCTCCTGAATACCCTTCTGTTACTATCTATATCTATCCTATTGTGCTGTCAAGAACTGGATGATGGTCATTCCTCAAAGGTCTCGTTACCAACCCTTTATCTCAACAGTGTCCAGGCACAACAGTACTGGGTGTCCTCCAAAGCGCTTTCCCAAAGCAAAGTGCTATGCTGGTGGAGACATGCAGGTAAGCATCGTCCCACCGCCGCAGTGAGCCAGGGTGGTTGAAGCCTGAGGTGGCACACGCAGCTGATGGGGGCTTCTCCTTGCAGATGGTGCTGTGGGGTGAGGTCATGTTGCTGCTTTGGGATGGAGGGCGGTGGTGAGGTCCTCCCATACCAGGGACAAGTGGCTTACAAACCAGTCCAGCAGCCCCAGCTGTGGAATCGGGGGAAATGTGCATCACAGAATATTTTTGTGTTTAATTTGTGCTTGTCCAGAAGAGCCTTGATTGATCCAACACAGCAATTGCCAAAAAGGTGACAAAGCCCATTCTGAGCGCTGCAATCGCCTCCTCCCTGGCTTAAAACCTTTGCTCACTGGCCCTAGCAAACACTTAATTCTCACTGTACCATACTGCAGCCAATTCCTGATGCCTCCACGCTCCTGTCACTCACCCCAGCTCGCTCCAGGACAGCGCCCTTCGGTCCTGGACTTAAGCCTCAGAACGTGTGGGGACCTGGGTGCTTCTGTGCAGCAGTGGCAGCGAGCCAGCCCCAAAGGATCACAACCCCCCGCCACCAGCCCCAGCCCCTTCACTGAAGTCAAAGTTCATGGAGGGCATGAGCCAGCCAACAGGGCAAGGGGTGGGAAGTGACCCCACAGGCCTGCAGGGAGATGGGAGTGGGCAGGACCCAGTGGGGCAGTGGCCTTTTTGTGGCCAGGCTGGTGGGCTTTGTCGAACTCTGGCCACCCCGGGGGAGCGATGTGCAGCACAGCCTTCCCGCGGCCTCTCCACAGCACGGGCGCCCAGCTGGGGGTCCTCCCACCCGAATTACGGGCTGCGCCAGCTGCCCCTTTGCTGCAGAAAGGCATGTGGGGATGGTTCTGGCACAAGGCCCACTGTAAAGGGGATTTTTGGCATCAGGGGCCCAAATACAAGTGGAAAAAGGCAGTCAGTGGCGATGCTAGGTGAGGAGGCAGCATGGTAGCGGCCGAACCCGGAGCACGATTCCCGGTCAGCTTGAGGGGGGATGAGTGAGTGATGCCTCTTTGCAAAACTGATTTTTACCCAAAGGCTGATTTTTTGACTGGCATCCATGCAGTGCAGCATCACCTGGATGGCAAAACCCGTGGGGTGCTGCGGGTGCCCTCCATGGCAGCAGAGTGGGAAGGCAGCTAGAGGTACTGCTGGCCCCGCACCATGTGTGGCCCTTAGACTATGCCCCTGTGCCATGGCAGTCCCCAGAGACAAAGCAGCTCCTTTGATCACCTCTGCTTTTGGGCACATTATTTATCCTCAACCACAGCAGCGACGGGGCCTTGGCGAGGAGTGGGGACGGAGGGGAGAGGGAGGCTGAAAGGTAAACGTGTGCCGCCCGGAGAACAAGGGCTGCTGAGAGAGGCCAACAGCTGTTATTGCAGGCTGCCACAGGAAGCTGATGGGAGAAACAAAAGGGAAGAAGCAGCGACAACAAACACACCAGCAAAATCTCCTCTCCGTCAGCCAGCCAGGAGCAAGTGCTGCGGGGTCCTCCCACAGCAGTACCGAACTGGAGGACTGGAGTGGAGGGGGGAGCAAACCAGCCAGAGCCAGTGCGACCAAGTCCAGGCACCTGCCCAAAGGCAACCAGGAGCAAGCAGACAGCTAGACCCAAAGTAAAACATAAAAGCCTCAGCAAAAAAAACTAAAAATCCCAAAAGGCACCAAACGCTTTTTTTTTTTAGCTTGCATTTTTTTTAATGACGTAAAAAATAAAAATAAAAGAAAGAAACACTCCACAGATGTTGTTGGCCTGGTGCAGATCACCCTCGTGCATGGAGGGCGCCAAGGTCCCCATGCAGTTGGCACTCATGGCAGCCAGTCCTCCCCCCGCCCCGAGGCCAGCTGAAGAAGGAAGTGGATGAAAAGCACGTGGTGGCTATGTCACAAGCAACAGAACAGCACGGCAGCTCCCCAGGCTGGGCTTTACCCAGGGGTGGGGGAGCTGGCACAGGTAAAATAAGAGCTCAACAGACTTTATATGTCCAAATTAAAACAGCGATGATAGCCATGAGAGCTGCACTTTAAGCCCCCCAGACAGCATTTGGGGGATTTTGTAATTTTTCTTTCAGTGTTACACGCATGTGCTCTGGGCTCCCCGGCTGGCGGGCAGCGGCAGCAGCAGCTGCTCTTGGTGGCTGTTGGCACAGCCGGAGGACAGAAGAACTAGCAAGCTTGTCGGGAGCCCGGCCTCAGGGTTTCTTGCCCATCTTTTTCATGCCTTTCCCCAAAGCCATGGTGAAGAGAGGGTGGGTAATGAGGCAGGAGGTCAGATGCTTGTTGGCTTCAAACCCAACAGCTTCTACCCATGGGGAGCTCCCACCGGCAAAGCTCCTGCTGCTCCTCTGGGAAGGATCCTTCTTCTCTGCCTTACATGTATACACATTTATATAGAGATATAGATATCTGATAAACATTTTGTATGAAAATAAATACATCATCTGTGTGTTAAGGACCATCGTCACTCTCATCTAGTCACCTGCTATAATGTTACATCTCTTTTTTGTCCATGACAACCTTGTTCCCACTGCTTTTTTCCTAACCCACAGACACTTCCTCCCTGCCTCCTGGGGCAGCAGAAAGCACTGCAGCAGGTAGAGACATACCTTTTGGCAGCCCCTCTCTTACTCGCCGCCTCCCAAGGTTTGGCTTATTATAGGGAACTTTATGAAGAAAGTGCTTCCCTTTACAGCACCTGTTTCTTGATAGAAGAAATTCTCTCACCTCTGTGCCCGGCAAGATCATGGAGCAGATCCTCCTGGAAACTAATGTAAGGCACATGGAAAATAAGGAGGTGATTGATGACAGCCAACATGGCTTCACTAAGGGCAAATCGTGCCTGAACAAATTTGGTGGCCTTCTACAATGGGGTTACAACATTGGTGAATAAGGGAAGACCAACAGACATCATCTACCTGGAGTTGTGCAAAGCATTTGACACTGTCCCGCACAATATCCTTGTCTCTAAATTGGAGAGACACGGATTTGACAGATGGATCGCTCAGTGGATAAGAAATGGGCTGGATGGTCACACTCAAAGTGTTGCAGTCAATGGGTCGATGTCCAAGTGGAGACTAGTGACGACTGGCGCCCCTCAGGGGTCGGTATTGGGACTGGTGCTGTTTAACATCTTTGTCAGCGACTTGGACAGTGTGATTGAGTGCACCCTCAGCAAGTTTGCCGATGACACCAAGATGTGTGGTGCGGTCAACATGCTGGAGGGAAGGGATGCCATCCAGAGGGACCTGGACAGGCTTTAGAGGTGGGCCCGTGCGAAACTCTTGAAGTTCAAGGCCAAGTGCAAGGTCCTGCACATGGGTTGGGGCAATCCCAAGCACAAATACAGGCTGGGCAGAGAATGGATTGAGAGCAGCCCTGAGGAGAAGGACTTGGGGGTGTTGGTTGATGAGAAGCTCAACATGACCTGGCAATGTGCGCTTGCAGCCCAGAAAGCCAACCGCATCCTGGGCCGCATCAAAAGAAACGTGACCAGCAGGTCAAGGGAGGTGATTCTCCCCCTCTACTCCACTCTCGTGAGACCCCACCTGGAGTACTGCATCCAGCTCTGGGGCCCCCAACATAAAAAGGACCATGGACCTGTTGGAGCGAGTCCAGAGGAGGGCCACGGAGATGATCAGAGGGCTGGAGAACCTCTCCTATGAAGACAGGCTGAGATAGTTGTTCAGTTGGGATAGTTCAGCCTGGAGAAGACAAGGCTCCGGGGAGACCTTATAGCAGCCTTCCAGTACCTGAACGGGGCCTACAAGAAAGCTGGAGAGGGACTTTTTATGAGGGCATGTAGTGATAGGACAAGGGGTAGTGGCTTTAAACTGAAAGAGGGTAGATTTAGATTGGATATAAGGAAGAAATTCTTCACTATGAGGGTGGTGAGGCACTGGAACAGGTTGCCCAGAGAAGGTGTGGATGCCCCATCCCTGGAAGTGTTCAAGGCCAGGCTGGATGGGGCTTTGAGCAACCTGGTCTAGTGGAAGGTGTCCTTGCCCATGGCAGGGGGGTTGGAACTAGATGATCTTTAAGGTCCCTTCCAACCAAACCATTCTATGATTCTATGATCTTCATCTTGAAAGCACTTTACAAAGAGTAAAGTTTTAACATCCTCTTCCAGGGCTCTCAATTAAGAAATATGTTTCTAGATAGCACTGTTTATATAGATATAGGTATAGTTTTTATTTATTTTTATTACCAACCCAACATTTCAATTTGCAGCCATTGATGTAATTCATGACATATTCTTGTGGTGGTTTTTTTTTTTTCCTTAAAAAGAAATGAACTTCAAATGAAAAGGATGCCTTTTTGTCTGTCTGGTGTTCCTAAAAGGTACTCAAGAAGACACAGTGGCAGTTTTTAAGCCCATACCTTTCAATGGCCTGAAGACCACCAGTGAGATATGGGCGCTGTGAAAACTGGGGTAGCAAACAAGTGAAAGGGCAGCCACGCCACAGCTCGGGGTGGGACGGTGCTGGGAACAAACGGGCACGCCATCCGGGGTTTCCTGAATTCAGTTCCACCTCCGAGTAGGAAGACTGCACAGCAAACCCACCACCATCCCAAGGAGCCGGTACCGCTTTCCCTGGCCCCCTCGCTCCCCCCAGGGCAGACTATTCCTGGGTAGCCATTTATTTCTTTATCGGTTGTAAATTAACATAATTTTCTCTCCCTGCAGTACGACAAGCTCGAAGTTAATTATACAAAGAGAAATGCCATAGTCAAAATATACATGATACATATTATATTAGAGGGTTGGGGTTTGGTTTTTTTTTTTCCCCCCCTCCTTTTTTCTTAGCCGAGGCAGGTGATTGAGATGCTACATGCTCCAGCCTTTGTCACTGAATGTGTGTGTGTCTGTGTTTGTATTAAAAATATATCAGTCTTGTGATGTTCTTAAAAAAGAAAGAAATGGAAGGCGGCGAGGGCGGAAACGGGTAATAGTGAAAAAGTTCTTTGACTGTGTCACAGTCCTTTGTGGCTTCAAAAAATACACATGTTCAATTCCAGCACTGACGGCAGCTTGAAGCTTTAGAGTAGATTTTTAACATTTTTCTGGTTTAGTAGTAAAAAAGAAAAAAAAAAACAAAGCAGCGTGCCTCCCCCAAACCAAAAAGCAACAAGCAAACGAAAGAAAAAAAAAAAAAACAAACAACCAAATTCCTGATCAGACTTCTGCAATTCCCAACCAGTAAAAATAAGAAAATATCTCCTTACAGTGGAGGGGTGCTCAGGAGGGAAGCAGACAAGCCCCTACGGGAGAGGTGACCTTTGGAGATGGCTGAAACTTCTTAATCTCATTGAATGGGGTCAGTGGCTGGGTTTATTGTGTTTTGTTTTATTTCAACACTTGCCATTGTTGCTTTCTTTTGTATCATTTTGGGTGGGTTTAGTTTGTTTGTTTTTTTCCCTCTGTGATGGTTTTGCCCTTCTTGGCGCACAGCCATCCAACCATCTGGGCAGCGGTGGCCCCTGATGGACAGCTGTCCCCTCTGGTGAAACCGCGCTTCCAGGACCGGTGTCCAGTGAGGTAACGGAGAAGGGGGGATCCCTCCCCCTGGCAGCACCGTCCCTCCACCGCCTAAAACCCCTTGATGTAGCAATAGGCCTCCAGGGTGGCGAAGAGGATGTACAGCAGCCAGAGGCTAATGAAGAGCAACGTCGTGGCCAGTTTGCACCCCCGGGGGCCACCCAGCTCCCCCCCGATGTAGGGCCGCCGGCGGTAGAGGAGGACACTGATGCAGATGAAGGCGAAGATGGTGAAGAGGGTGACGGAGAAGGCCAGGGTGCCCGCTGACACCTGGAACTCCTGCCCTTGTGACGCCCAGTAGATCGCCGCCACTGACCATGCCAGCCCGATGCCCAGGAAGACGTTGACGGCATTGCTGCCCGTGACGTTGCTGATGGAGGCGTCGGCATACACGTCCTGGATAGCCGCAGCTTTGCTGGCGAATGTGTCTGGGGTTGGGGAGGAGGGAGGAGAAATTACTGGGAGTCCAACAGGGGAAACGGGCAACCCTTCATGTCTGGAGGACAAGGGAGGCTCAGGTGTGGCACTGGCTAGGTTGGGACATGGATCTCTCCTGGTGCACAATCCCCCTCCCGGGTCCAGGGACCCCATGTTGCCACCAAGTGGGGTGCAGACCTTGCCTGGGGACAGGGCACTGTGGAGCCCCTTCCCAGCCTGAACCCCATCCCCATGATGGAGCTGCTCCTGTGGGACAGGAGAACCACTAGAGGACTTTCCTCCCACCCCATCCCCTCTCTGTGGCTACCCCACCTGGTACGGAAGTGCCGAAGGCAACAAAGACGACGGCGGTCACTGAGTCCTTGAGGCCGATGGTGCAGCCAAAGTGGGAGGCAAGGTCGCCAATGACGGCTGTGAGCATGCCAATGATGAGGATGGAGACAACGAAGCAGGCCCAGCCGTTGCAGTACTCAGTGGGGGGCACGCAGGCAAACAGCACCTTCCAGAAGACGGTCAGGAAGTGCATCACATAGTCGAAGCAGGACGGCAGGCGCTCCTCGCCAGACTCATCCTCGTCCTCATCACCTGCTGCACACAACGTGGAAGAAGAGATCCAGCGCTCATGATGGGTCAGGTCAAGATTATGGGGGTGGGCTGCAGCCTGCGCTTGGTCCCCCTCTCAGGGCTCCAGGGATGCTGCTCGCCTGGGACAAGGTGGTGTGGTGCTGGCCACAACAGTGAGCTCAGGGCACTCCAGGTCCCTCAGTGATGGATGAGGCTTGCCAAGAGGGGTGCCTCCCAGGACACCCCAGAGCCTGCAGGGCTGGGGAGTGGCAGAGCGGTGCATTGTGCCCACAGAGGGGCAGCCCCATCCCATCCCTGTTCCCATCCACAGGCAGTCACATAGTATGTAGTCAGCCTGCAGAGGTCACTGTTGAGGAGCACCATGAAGTCACACAGCCAAGTGATGTTTTGGGGGGGGTAAAATAGCAGAAAGTGATAGAACTGGGAAACTGGAGTGACCTCATGGTTCTCCTGCACCAGAGGACAGGCTGGTCACCAGCAGTGGCCCAGCAAGAAATTTCTCATCTGTGTGAGGGTATCAACAACAGCGCTGCAGCCCTTGGAGGGGTTCCCTCCTTAGCGTGGTGGGCCAGGTCAGCCCCAAGGCTGGAAGCACTGCTGGTCTTTGTGCA